CGCCAAGAGAAAAACATATGACTGTTTTATAGTTTTGCTTGTCAAAAAAGACTGTTTAGCAGGTGCAAAGTCTTGTTGTTTTGCTGATTATTCATTACTAAGGCAGTGGACATTTATTGAAAGTGGATTATAAGCAATAAATATTCGACGGTTTAGTATATATCAGTTAATATCAGTTGTACCATAACTCGAATCTAAGTCCGATTTCTCTTGTTTTCTTTATTCGCTCGCTGTGATTAGAGATCTGACAATGGCTATTTCAATTCAACACAGCAATATGATATACGGATTTAACTGATAAGGTTGTTTTCATGCGGTTTAATATTATTTACTAAGCATACTTAATATATATTTTTTGCAATAAAACTTGTGTCAAGACAGATGTATACCGTCTTAGACTGATTCTGAATCCGAAGACACCAAGACACCAGTCAGTTTGAACTTGAATTCAGCAAAACGAAGCGAAACAGCGGAAAATGGTGCAATATTATCTTCGTCTTTCCTTCTCTAAATTAATATCAAAGAATGCCTTATTTTTTTAGTCATTGGACTCACACTCAACTTTAGCAAATAGCTTTAAGGAGAATTAACATATTTTCTGAGAAATTAAAAACAATAAAGTAGCAGGCATGATACGTGCTTATTTTTCTAACTAAAATTTTGTAATTCAGTTAATGAGATGCTTGTTGCGTCGAAATTTCGAAATCTATCAGGAAGTACGCTAGCCTACCTTTCCATGCACTGCGCATCATTAAGACCAAGAGCCATCTTTCATGACACGATTCCTTTTCAAAGTGAACACAGCCGTTCTAACAGCAAATCCTCATGCACACCACTTTGATCGCTGAAGTTTTTGCTCCTTCGGGTTTTGATATGATTTTTCTTTTAGTACTGAATTACTGATGCTGATCGACAACGAATGGCAAGAGAACTTGTTTTCAATAATAATCATTTGATACGTTACGGTCCAAAATGGTCGCAAATCCTACGCCTCCGGCTTGACGATGATATATCTCGTCCGGCTGCACTATTACTAAGAGTGAGGCTATGCCAATAAAATAGCTTTTTCTCACAATAGTCACTTTAAACAATAATGCAAGATACCTTTTCATTTGGTAAAGGAACTAGATCGGCCGCATTCAAGAAACAGAAAAGCTAAAATAACAGGACCGATTTGGGCTACTCTCACGAGGAACCGGACGAACTTTTCACCGTTTTGAAAAATTTAACCAGACACTTTGTCTCAGTTCACACGGAACTTTGATCTGTTAAGCGTACGGTTAAGGTGATTCCTTGTGGTAGCTAGAGCTTGTCGCTTACGAGAGTGGTCACTAGGAGAGCTTCAACTATGAAGAATGGAAATGCAACTGATTTTAGTGCATTAACACAAACCATTCTAGTTTGCGGAGGGCAGTGAACAAAGTAGTGATCTCGACTCCTGCGATTTCAGACCTGTGCCTCTATTTCAATCGAACAGAAATGGAAACATAAAATAAACCGTATCAAAAAAATGAGTCTTCCTGTGCATAAGTGAGGTTTTCATTCTCAAATTGATGTAGTTGTAGGATGAAATACCTGAACTTTCTACAAAGCCATGCACTAGCTTTAAGAATTGTCAATGATTTATTCAGCCTATCAAGTCCTGTTTAGTTTTAACTGCAATACTAAACCCCCAACTCAAGGGCGTTTTCGTGGATGAAAACGGGTCACGTGTCATAAACACCTGCGGTCTATGTGTTTCGGCCGTTGACCGAGAAAGCCTGGGAGGACGCCGCAGAGGAACTAGGCAAATACCTTCCCAAAGCAAACAAAACTCATTTGCACGAAGTCATTTTCGTGTTCCTTGAAAACGTGGAACATCTACGTTTCATTCGCGCTAAGACAAGATGTGGCGAACAAACTTACGCTGAGTGAAGATCATCTAACCTCAGAACTGCTAAAATCGATAGTACGCTTCATATATAAGGTCAGGAGTGTGGCATTGGATTTTAACGCACAAAAATGTGAAGAGGTTTACTGAAGAAAAGAAAAATGTTTAAACTCGTGAGTTTCTCTTGAACATTTGAAATTTCATTTCACATTCGTCATCTTAGAATTGTTTTTCTACCAGGACATGAAAAAACGCAGGAAGAACCGTTTATGTAGTACATTCATTCGGAGTAGATGAATAAACAAAAAAAGAATATTTTGTATGACGTTTGTCCTAATACGACCTTTACAAGTCCTTATCAGTTAAAGTGCGTTATTACGCTGATTAAAAATGGTTTGTTCCTTACCAAAAAGAAATATTCTCTTCGCTTGTCTGTTGGTATAAATCTTCCTCGATGATTGGCGACACAGCAAGCATAATAACGGCTAAATCAAATTCGGTGGTAAATTTCCCATCGAAAATTAAGTGTTTTAATTGGAGAGAAGACAGTAATGTTAATAACATGATTAGCTATAGTGCGTCATCGAGAATTCGTTTAAATTTGAGTCTGAGAGCACTTGTGCTACAAGA